TGCATGACTACAAGTATCATCTGAATTATTGCATGACTAATAGTATCACGTATCATAATTTATCTGAAGAATCGCATGACTACAATTATCACGTATCATAATATATCTGAAGAATCGCATGACTACAAGTATCACGTATCATAATATATCTGAAGAATCGCATGACTACAAGTATCACGTATCATAATATATCTGAAGTATTGCATGGCTTGTATTTGCCCAAAACTCTACTCATTAAAAGTTTGACACCGTAAGCGCAACGGCCCTATTTTAGATCGTACAATGTCGTCTCAACCTCTGAATCGATCTTTTGAGCCAAACGGCCTGGAATGGAGCCTCTCGTGTAAGTGCAAATATATTTCAAGTCCCACCTACAACATTTTCTGACTTTCGATCTTTATTCAATACAAACAATATGGCCAACTCACATGTTTGCCACCTCCGAGAAATACTGTCTCAAAATCAAGGAGAGCATCTCCGGAAGCTCGTTGATGTTTCTCACCACGACGTAGAACTCGAAGGGGAAAGTGTCCAAGTAGTTTTCCACCTTGAGCGACATGGTGCCCGTCACCGGGTCCGGCACGTAGCTCACCTGGGACATATCCAAGATAGACTCGTTGGACGTGATTCCATCAACAACCACAAACACAAGCATCACCTTCTCTTCCCTGGCCTTTCTCACCAATCGTTGCACCGTAGCGTGATCCTCGCAAACACCATCTGAGATAATGATCTGTAACTGCCACAAGTCGCTGCTGGAGCTTGACCGGGCGTTCTCGAAAATCTTCAATGACTGGGAACACAACTGCTTGATGTCTGTGCGCTCCTGCTTGAAATCAAACCACTGGAACACGTTGGCGCCTGTTTCCTGGTTGAATGGCTTGTCAAAAGGATGCACCAACTTCACATCCTCGCCAAATCTCACAATAGACAAACCACCGCTTTCCAACTGCGTGAGAGCCTTCGAAACGAGGGCTATACTATGGAACGCCAACTCCGTGGATTTGCTCTCTGTCATCGATTTCGAGTCGTCCACGGCAATCATGATCTGGTATTGTCTCTTTGCAGGCTTGGTGCGTCTGAGCCAGATCTTGTCCTTACGGAAATCCGAGGCAATGTACGAGATGATCCGCTTCATGTTGAGTCGCTTTCCGGTCTTGTAGTCGCCCCTGAGCTTGGTGGCCAAAGTGGGCTCCAAGATCAATCTCAATTGTTCACTGAGACCAGAGGCAAGTTCCTGGGTAGCAATCTCACTTTCCCTCCAAATGCTTCTCGCATGGTCGAGACTCATGGCGGGGACATCCTCCCTATTGATGACAAAGTCATCCTGCTTGTACACCTCTAGCTCTTGCTCTGCAGCTGTCTCATCGATCTCGTGTTTATGAAGAACATCTTCAGGACTTGGCTCATCTGTTTGTCTTCTTTCACCAACAACACCACCTTTGGTTTTACCTTCGAAATCTTCAGCGTCTTCCGCAACTTGGTCGCGTGCCTGTTCTGCATCGTCATCGATATCCATATCGTCTTCTGTTTTGACTTGCGTGGGTTCTTCCTCTTCTGTTCTGGCAGACTCATCATCCTCTTCATCAATCGCCATGTCCTCGTCAATGCTTTGAACTTGGTCTTTGTTATCAGCAGCACCTAAAGCCTGTGTGTCATTCTGAGTGTTTTCGCCATCAACGTGCTGGAACTCGTCCGGCTTGACGTCTGCCTTTTCCTCTTGTTCTTTCTCATCCAACGAAGCCTCCCTGATTTCTTGACGACGACGGTGAAACTCCTTCAAGGAATCTCCGAGCTGTTTCAATGACTCCTTCATCTCTTCTCTTGCACCGTCATCATTAGGTGCCTCCTCTTCTTTGCGGTCTTCTTGTTTCATGTCTGAAGAAGCAGTTCCTGAAGTGCCGATATCATCCTTTTCTTCCATGGCCTGATTGTCAGCGCCCTCGCCTTGCTCACCTGCCTCTGTCTTTGTGGCAGAGTCCATATCAACATCTTCCTCATTATCCTGGTTGTTGGCACCATCGTCACCTTCGGCTGCATCTTCACCGTTTTCTGAAGCATGTTGATCGTCTTCTTTCTTATCTTCCTCTTCTTGTGGAGCATCTGCTATTTCTTCTTCCGAGTCAATGTCTTGAGGTTCTTCGTCGACGTCCTTTTCGCCATCTTCTGCTTCCGACTCTTGTCCTTCCTCCCCACTGTCATCTTTTTCTTCAGACTCTTCACCGGCATCATTATCTTCAACAGCCTCAGCAGTATCGACTTCTTGTTCGTCTTGGTCCTTGCTCTTGTCCTCTTCTTCCTCTTCAACATCCATTTTATCATCAAACTCGTCGTTCTCTTCACTGTCTTCATCATTATCTTCATCCTCATCATCCAAATTCATATCGTCGGGAAGGTCAAGAGTTTCAGTTTCTGGTACATGGTCATCCAACTGTTCATTCTCTTCATTTCTAACCTCGTCTTCTTGCTCACCAACATCTTCTTCGTTCTCAGCGTCATCATCATTCTCCTCCTCGTCACCGTCCTTCTTATCATCTTTAGACTCGTCGTCTTTCTGCTCCGCATTCTCCTTCTCTTCTTCTTCGTTGGCCTCCATGTTATCATCATCATTCACTGTGTTCTGAGGCATTTTATCGGAGTCTTTTTCTTTGTCGTCTTCCTTGGCTTCCTCGTCCCACATCTTCTCGTCAATGGCATTTGGATCAAGATCATCAATGTCATCAACTTCTTCATCCAAATCTTCCTCATCGCCATCGTCTTTATCTTCATCATCCTTCTCCTGGTCAGACGTTTCCTCAAGGTCTCCTGCCATATCACCCTCCATGTCAACGGCATCATCATTCTCGTCCTCTTCTTCATCTTTGTTTTTCTCTTCATTTGGTTGCTGTGCATGCTCCGCCAAATCGTCGTCTTCTTCTTCGTCTTTAGAATTATTTGTGGCGCCTTCCCCATCACCCAAGCCGGTACCATCATGCAAGTTATCATCTTTCTTTTGCTCGCTTGGTGGTTCTGGGGAGCAGAAACCATCTGTAGCCAACGTGTGCAAGGACTTCAAAAGCACAAACGTCGACTTTGTCATCTCAATATAATTTTGCTTGGTTTTCGACAATATTGAGACGGAAAGATTATTGTATTGGACAATCAAGGGCCTCGTGAAGGATACCAAAGCAGAAGTGAGGGCAGAAGTATGACTGTTGTGTTCAATTTTGTGCACTAGTTTGATGCAGTTTTCAAGAGACTTTTCGATTCTTCCTTGATGCAAAAGCTTAATGGATTTCATCAACCTGTGCTGCGACATTGTCAACCAACCATCTTCTTCGTCTCTAATTTCTTCTTGATAAAGTTCAAGAATCTTCTGAACTGAGAGCAAAATCAATGTAGAAAGTGATCTCAATTCTAACTCAAGGTCTTCGACAACTGCTAAGTGAGTCAACGAAGTCGATGAGTTTAAGAACGGCTTGAAGCTGAGATTGCCGATACAGTTTATGACCACTTCAGCGATGAAAGCATTTCTGACATTCATATCAGCCCACAATCTCAACTTCTCCAACAAGTTATCAAGAAACTCTCTGAATTTCAAAACAAGTTGAGCTTCATTCTCTGTATATATCCGGGAACCCTTTTCGGGCAAGGAACTCAACATAGTCGTAACCCCAGATTTTGCCTCAGCAAAAATAGACAGATCAACAGAATCATGGAAGTATGCGACACTCTCTGAAACATCAAGCGCATAGTCAAGCACGCGGACCAAACTGTTGCCAAAGGATCTCATTTCTTGTAAATTGTATTCCATTGAGGAAACGACTGATGTTCTCACAAAGTCATTCTTGTCATTTTGCGCAACACTCATCATGTTCTCACAGAGTTCAGAAATTTTTTCGACAGAATTTGATAGATTCACCAAAGGAGATCTTATGGTCACTAGAGAGAACATCAAGTTGTCAGAAGCAGCAAGACCCCTTTCAAGATCAGCCTGGGGAACTTCTTCATTACCACTAGCAATGGAGCTTCGCAAGCGGGGCAAGATATCAAGACATCTGAAGTAGTAGGAGTCAATGCCGGCAATTGATTTATTCCCGAAGTGGGCTCCATTAGTAAGAATTAAATTCACGGTTCCCAAGACTTTCTTCACTTCTGGTTTTACAGTTGTCTTGACTCCAATTCTTCTTAACTCTTTAAACGTGTCACTGAGCAACTTGTGTTTTTGAGTCTTCAATGCAGCAACCAGCTTTTTCGTTTCATCGTTCATCACCGACGGTGTTTCTTTGCGCAATTCTTCCATTTGCTCGATGACCTGCTTGGTATACGCATAGAGTGAAGGAGACTGGCTCTTCAAAATCTTCTCAATGTAAATCTTCAAGTTACTTTCGACGATCTCGATGTTTTTCAAGCGAGCAGGTCTTTCGCTCCACCCTAAGGTGGTCTGACAGGCTTTCAAAACAGCCAACTTGTCTGCTTGAGACAAAGCGATATGCCTCAAATGTTTAGGCTCGAAAGCACTGGCAACTATCACGGCAGAATCCTTCGGAATACCGGCCTCGATTATGGGTGAGACTGGTGTAGACAACAACGTGCGATATTTTCTCACCAACTTGTAAAGACTGTTGTGAGATTTACGTGAGCTTTGCTTAAGCGCATCGATGTTAACATCTTTCCAACTTGCAAGAAGAATAATCTCAGACACATCCTTCTCTAACGTCTTCCTCGTTTGGTTCACTGAGTCCTCAATGGTCGGAACGAATTGCTCGTAAAAAGAAATAAAGTTGCCAAGGCCATTAAGAATATTGCTATCAGCGTAAGAAAGACTTGCAATGTGATTTCTCAATGCCTTAACCAAGTCCAATCTAGGCTGGAAGTCACCAAAGTTCGTCTGACTCATGAAAATGTTCAAGGCACCCAAGATTTGCACAACTGATGGTTTCTCGTTTATATCTTCATCAGTCTCATCATCTTGAAGATAGGGAATGACAATACTATCAAACAAGTGGAACCACCATTTCCCAACAGACTTTTGGAAAGCCTTGTTTTCGTAGTTGAACAATGATTTCCAAGACGTGAGCTCCAACTTTCTCCAAGACACAATGAGATTGGTGATCTCATCAGAATGTGCTTTCAAAGTAACCTTGCTTGAAGCAAATTTTTCCCATTCATTCAACGAGTTGTGCAAGACCTCAACTTTGAAAAGAAGTTTATTCAATGGGAAGCTCGAAGGGTAACCCAAGAATTCGCTCGCATATCGGGAAATTGTCTGCAAAGTAGCATGTTCAGGCCATTGAGTAAGCAACGATGCCACTGAATTGAATACTGCAAGAACTAATTTCATTGCCTTTTTGAATTCAGAAGGACATGCGTCATGATAGAAATTCACCTCAATCTTCAGGTCGCTAGCAAATTGATCATGAGCAGACTTCATTGTGATGAGCAAAGCTGACAAATGTGAAGCATTGTTTGGTCCGTAAATGGTGTCAGAGTTCACCAGCTGAAACTCAGTGCAAAGCAGTGCACCTTGTTCAACAACATTTTTTAGAGATAACTCCTTATCTTTCAAGTAGTAGTTGACGTAGGAGACGGCGAGCTCGTAGTGAACATCTTCGAAAGCTTCCGTCAGCTTTCCAGAATCATCTTCAATGTCCATGACATCGTCATAATCAGGAAAAAGATCTTTGAACTCTTGTTCTGCATCGTCCGTGTCCTTATGCTTGTATAGAGATCCCTCTTGAACTGCTGCTTCTTCCTGCTTCATCTTACGATAGTACCACCTGTAATAAAGCGACTGAAATGCTTGGTTTATCACCAATGAAAGCTTCTCGTCATCCTTCTTTGTTTGTGCGAAACACAAATTGATAAAGAAGAGCATAACCTTTTCGCTTAAAACTGACGAACTTCCGAGTGTTTTGTTCATGGCCTTCACGGATCTGAAAACGGCTTCGATGGCAGGTACATCGTTTAATTTTTCAATATTCACCTGCCACAACGAAACTATTGAGAAAGATGATGCCCGATTTTGATTCTCAATATTCAACAAGTCTAATCCCAAACGAATACTGTAGATGTATCCATTAAGAATATCATTCAAGTCGGCATACATGGGATACTTGCTGTTCAACCGCATCATAAAGTTGGCCGAGTTGTTGTGAAATATGCCCACTTTTTGATGGTTAGATTCAGCCGTGGACAGTTCTGCGGCGGTCAAAAGTTTAGCGATCGGCTCAGTATCAATTGCAGAGTCCATAAATGATTTCCACTCGTCGAACAACTCATCCATGCTCTCATTTGTCCTGAAGATTTGAGATTTCGACAATTCTTGCTGTTCGCTAGGCTTTGGTAAAGACGATTCAAGCTGGAGTGGTTCATCACCACTGTTCACAGATCTAATTGTTTTCCATGATTCAGCGAGCCGAATACATAATTCCTGTTGACGCTCGTAAACAAGATATGTGACATGGTCTTCAATTGCTGGGTCGAGTGGGGAATTTGGAACAAATAATTGGATACACCCACTCGCAAATAAAATCCATGCTTTACCTAACTGCGCAAGATCAGTACTGTCGATTAACAAGTACAATGCCGGAAGGTATGTTTCTCTCATGATTGCGACGACGGTTTCGTCACAACCACATTCAACAACCTCGAATAATTGCTTAAGGTCAGCTTTGGTTGCGATTGAATTGCCGTGCGAAGTTAATGGAACGTCTAGATCATGGGCCTTGAGAATTTCAAGAATCCATTTGAAAAGAATGCTTTGAAAAACGGACTTCTGATTTTCGAGCACGCTAGGGGAATTTTGAATCAAAGACTTTCCAAAAGCGGACATGTCTGCCAAGCTTTGATCCAAGTATTTTCCTGGACGGTTTTTGATTCCATTCACTTTCTCAATGCTTTGTTGCAAAAAAACATTCGTGAACAAACCCTTGGCGAAACTATTTTCGCTCCAAAGACAGTCGAAAATTCTTGGATAAGGTGTAAATAATTTCGATTTTGAGCTCTGTAGCAAAGAAAGAGTCGATTTCGAAGCGTATGAAGCAACTGAAAGCTGGTCACATAGGTTATCTCCATGGTAGTACGAGTTCAATGTCAAGAAGTTTGACAACATCGTGAATTCCTCATCCATAAGATTATGTCTCTCCACAACAAAAGCGTCAGCAACATCAGCAAGCCTCTTGAATGCAGTAGCAAAACTTGTAAATACAAGGTCCAAGTCCTCGTCATTTAATGAATCTGACACAATGTCTTCGTAAAGGGATAGCATCTGGTGCCTAAGTTCTGAAACTTCTCCATATGTATCTGGGTACAACTTTCTCGACAAAACGTCAAAGTCACCCAACAATGCCAAGAGCTTGGCATAGTTATCCCACGCTTTTTTAGAGGTGGGATAGCTTTGTCTAAAATGCTCCCAGATTTTTGTCATTGAAAAGCCAGATGTCAACTCCAAACCGACACTAAGAGAGGTGATTTCACGTGAATGGTCTGCAACAATCGGAACACTTTCGTGAGTTTCGAGCCATGAGGTGATCATACCGTGGTACACTCTGAGTTTCGAAAGGTTTTGCTCTTGTGAAGCCTCGGTAAGGGAGACCCAAATACATTGGATCTCCATCAAAGATTCGTAAAAATTGGAGGGCTGCTGAAAGAATTCGGAAAAGTTCATCGAAGCATCAAACACGTTGCTAATGAATTGTGCTACCGCTTTCACATAAGCATAAATGTTGATTTTGGGAGCTCTTTTGATTTCTCTCCCGAGACCGATAGCTGCCGATCTTTCGATGAAAGAAAGTTCACTCGCCTTACCGTTGATCGCCTTTTCTTCCACGCGCTGGACAAAAAATTTGGAGTCCAAAACAGATGCCGCAACCTGAAAGAGCACATTTGCATTTGTTCCATTGACATTGAAACCACAATTTACAAAGAAGCCCAAGAGGTAAGGATTCACAAGTGGATGCAAAACCTGACTAGAAGCAAAGTCGCGAGTCACAAGCAGAGATGCCGCCGTCTTACCATAAAGGGCTTTCATATTTGAAACAAACCCACTGGCTTGCAAGTGTTGGAGCACTTGGCAGACTTGTTCGAGTCTCGCTGATTCTACCAGTCCAAACTCTGGTCCGTTGAATGCTTTCGCCCATTTCTTGAGCTTTCCAAATTGAGAGACGCCAAAAATGCTTACCAAGGCACTTGCAAGACAGGATGCTGAATCTGCATTAACGCAATCGTGAACGAGTGCAAGTTGCCTCAAACTCGAGTCAGTAGAAGACACAAATGCGGAAATCGGCCTAGCCACCTGCAAACTCTCGTCCATTTGCATCTTTTCGAATTTCTGATCAATGTTGGTCGCATCGAGATTTTCCTCGGAAGACTCCTGGGTGATAGGCATACCGAGCAACATTCTGTCAAATGAGGTAGCTCTGCTCTGCAAGCTTTCCAAGAAGATTTCCACGCATCTGTTTCTCATTGCCCTGGAGAGCTCGCCATACCTTGGGTCAACTGTCAAGAATAATCTGAAATTTGGATGCGGTTTCAAGATTCTCGGAGAGCCATCTTCCTGTGAACATTCATTGATAATTAACGAGCCATTGTACTCTAAAAGCGAGTTGAGTCTGTCTAAAACAGACGGATTGCACAAATTGGCATTATCAAGCACCAACCACTCACCTCTGACAACAGCTTTCACAAGCATGCCATCAAACCAGTTAAATTTAACCGTGCTCACTTCTTGCAACTTTGAGTGTAATTCTTCGGCCGAAACAGAAAGAGCATCCAATTTTTCATTGGAGTAGAAAGTCAAGAAGCTCTGGAATTTTGTGAGCAAGTCGTGAAAGTTTTCAGCCACAATATCAGTGTCCTCCATGAATTGAAGAAGTTCTAAGCAACTCAAAAGCGAAGCTGGTTCCGACCCAGATTCTTTTAAATTCACAACCACCAATTCATTGAGTAGCTGGTGTATCTCAAGTGTAAGCGCATTGATGGAACGGGTAAGATCCACTTGTTCATAGCCACCTAAGATGTCCATACTGTCAACATCACTATTCATCGAGAATTCTGAAAGCTTTACCCCAACAATATTCGCTAAGAACCTGATGAGCTCGGTTTTACCTGCATTGGATGGACCGGTCAAAATGAGCGGAATGTTCTCATTGACACTTCTCATAGCAGACTCTAGAATAGGGAAGTTTGTTTGCAAGGTGACAAATTGCAATCGATCAGACGAGTTAGAAAACTGAAGAAGCTGGCTTCTTTTCATGAGAGAGCCTCCAGCCTGAACATACTCTTCACCCATTCCATAAAATGCATCTTTTTTTCTTTGTGGGCCGAAAATCGACTCAAAGAGTTCCTCGACATGTTGGCGATCCTCTGGAGTACGGAATCTGTGGCAAACAATCATGTCCAAAAAGTCGCCGACGGAATTGTCACTGGCGTGGCTTAAGTTATATTTGGAGCTGTAAAGACCAAGCCAGCGCAACGTGTCACGCAAATTGAACTCCCATGGACCACCCGACATGCCCCACTTCTTCTGCACCACAACCTCTTCCTCTAACTTAGTCATAAAACTGATAATTTTAGAGCAATCATCACGCGGTACATTGGGGAAAATCTGAGCGGAGATGAGCATCAAATCCTCGTTTTTCAAAACGTCCATGTGAACCACAGAGAAACGATTTACGAAAGACTTGGGTAAACCTTTTCTACCACCACCTTGGTATTGCGGGTTTTGCGCCGCGAATACCTTAAATTGCGGATGGCGAGGAAATGATCTGTCCAATTCTGGGATATAGGCCTCTCCTCTGTGATCCAAACAGGCATTTAAACCCTCTAAAACGGATTGAGAGGCTAAATTCATTTCATCGAGAAGCACCCATTCACCATTTTTCATTGCACGGAGAAATGGCGCATCTCTCCACACAAATTCACCAGTATTTCCGCCTTCCACTGGCGCGTCAGACCCAAACAAATCGATCAAGTCAGTTTGTTCGGACAAGTTGATCCTAATGAGCGGATTTCCGGTGGCTTTAGAAATAGCAGAAATCAAACTAGTTTTTCCAACACCAGGACTTCCCTCGAGCAAAATGGGCTTGTGAACCTGCATGGCTCTTATGACCCGCATTGCATTTGCGGCCGTAGTGGGTGCCAGTAAATTAAACAGCTCTTCCCATTCAGTTTCTGGCTTCCTAGGAATCTGGAACATGCCTGCTTTTAAGCAGTTGTCCTTCACTTCAATAGTAGGAGTACAACGAAAGGAGTTTTCGTCTGTGTCAGACCCAATGAGCAGGCACAACATTTGAAGACACTCTTGCTTATACTCGAGGAGCCTCTCCTGATTATCCGCAAGATAGGCAGTGTTATTAGTGCCCAAGGCATCAATAAACACCATCATGGCACCATTCACCAAAGCCAATTTGTCCGAAAACGTCAGGTCACACGAATTGATAAACTCAACCCATGCCAAAATGTCACGAAGTGAAATGACACCACTGTTTGCATTTCCATTGCCCAAACGTCTTCCGAACCACTCAGAGAATTTGACCAAAGGTACACTAAGATGGCGGTTTTCGGACTTTAAGCGTGATTCAACAATTTGTTGGACGTCGTTGAAATCATCCATAGACGGAACCCAGATCTCAGTAAATCTGTTTCTCAATGCTGGAGATAATTCCTTCTTTCCATAGTCCCCACCAGGATTCATTGATGCCAAGAACTGGAAAGTTTCCTCGGCAGCAAGAAACGAGTCTTCAGTGCCCTTTTCGGCCAACAACAAACTTCTTTCTGGTTCGAGAACGGAATTCAATCTTTCCAACACAGAGTCGTCCGCCAAAGAAATTTCGTCAAGTAAGAAAAACTCACCTTGCTTCATCGCGTTGATCAAAGGCCCATCAGCCCACTCAAACAATGAGGACGAGGTACGAATATGTTCATCAATTGTTTCAAGTAAGGACACTTCGATCGCCTCGTTTGGAACTTCAATTAGTGTTCTCTTGACACGTTCGTACTTCTTTACCAAGTCCTCAACCTTTGACTGCTCAAGCGACACATCTATTTTCATCAAGTCAAAGAATGAAAGAAGAGCCTTGAGCAATTCCGACCTAGTTTCAAAGCGATTCCTAATTGGTCTTTGAGCACCCAAGATGTCACCAGTTTCAGTGTTTTGGTGGGCATTGACGGTGATCAACTCACGCTGAAGAAGCTGTGCAAGAATTTGGCAGACAGTAGTCTTACCACACCCGGTTTCACCAACCAATAGAAGAGGCTCCTTGTACTTTATCGACATCTCAACCAACACAGCAAGTCTCCGCATGGCCTTTGTCCATACCACAGACAGCTCAAGTTCCATTAGTTGCTTGTTTTCCAACTTCTCGTAGTACTCGTCCATGTTGAGAGTTACTCTCATGACCTTCTCGATCGTTTCCTTTACCACAAGCTTCTCCTCTTGGGATCTGACTCTTTCCGCAAGCAACATGTAGCCGTTGGCAGCCAATTCTTCGTATCCAACAGCATCTCTTAATGCCCATCTGAACAAATCCCTTAGAGTAGCAAACGAATTTTTCTGCTCAAAGAGCCGGGAAGACTGACGACGCACAGACAATTGTCTGTACACTTCAACAATTTTCTTTCCATACGAGGGAGCAATTTGGCAACGCTCCCTCAAAATGACCTCAAGCTCATCCTGAGGAATATCATCAAAGTGTAATTCGAGGAATCTGTTTCTGAATGCACGCGACAACACTTTTCTTCCTCCGTATAAGCCTGGAGGATTCTGAGTGGCGAACAACATGAAGTCGGGATGAGGGTGAATGACCTCCTGTGTCTCGGGGATGAACAACTCTCTGTTATCATCAAGCAAGCGATTCAACGCCTCCAAAACGTCTGTAGGGGCAAGATTCAACTCATCTAAAACAATCCAATGGCCTTTTCTCAAAGCCTCCACTAAGACACCCTCGCGAAATACAAGTTTCCCACTGGAGTCCGAAACGTAGGTTCCCAAATATTCTTGCAAGTCAGTGTGCTCGTGATTGTTGATACGCACAAACTTGTGGCCGGTGATGCTTGCCAAATAGTTGATCATGGATGTCTTACCTGCAGAAGTTGGGCCTTGCACCAACACTGGGAACTTTCTGCTAGCAGTAGCACGCACCAAATTGAGAAGATTCTTCTCCACAAAAGGCGTAATGATGTAATTTGGCGTGGAGATCTCGCCAGGTCCCCGTTTCATCCAGTAATGCTTGAATTGTACATAGTCCGACTCGTTTGAAGACGGCGCAGGCGGGCAGCGCGCAATCACTTGTTTGGCGTTCTTGAGCTTGTCAATAGTGTACTTGGCAATTATGGGCCTTAATACCTCTTCTGACTTGCGGTCGAGCAATGTCAAAAACGACATACAAAAGCCCTCGTATAGGGCTCTCCGTAAACCGTAAATGGACACGATGTCGCAGACATAAATCAACGTGCGTGTCAATGTACGGATACTGAAGTGCGGTTTTTGATTGGCTCCGTCAACAATCTTGTTGGATTCGGCAAGCGTCTTGGCCTCATAGTACAATTCGGCAATATCTTCGATTGCCCAGTCGTCTCCCACGGCAAACCGCAGAATGTACTTTTCAATGATGGAGGTCAAGTCCTCTCTGTCCCTGTCTGGCGAGTGAACGTAGATTTCGCTGAATCTGGACCTGATACTCAAAGGTAAGTCACGCTTACCCACATCCGTCGAAGGATTCATGCAGCCAAAAATGCGGAAATCTGCGTGCGCTTTGATGGCTTCAACGTCGCCCCTCTCACTAAGTAGCACAGACCTCTGGTGTAAGTTCTCCGAGAGAAGATCAGCAATGCTTTCCAAGGTATCAGGCGAGGCCAAGTTGATCTCGTCTAGAAGAAGCCATTCACCGTTGCGCACGGCTTTCACTAAAGAACCCTCAACAAAGCTAAACACAAAGGAGTTTTCGAGGTTGGCAGCCTGGGATTCGAAGCCCTTGACGTCGAGCTGGAATTCCTGCCATTTTGAGAGGAGGACAGACTTTTCGGTCGAGCGAAGCTTTCTCTTTTTCTTTGGTCCGCCGTCCTCGGCAGCATCATCGTCAGACTCGTCGGGCTTGCTCAAAATCTCGTGAGCCATTTTAACGGCCTCGGTCCAGAGTTTGATCACGTTCTTCCATTGGTTCTTGTTGAAGCACTTCGATAGAAGCGCTGAGAATTTGCCATTTTTCTTTTGCGAGAATGTTGCGAGGAATAGGGTCTCAAACACTTCCTGCAACGGTGTGGCAACGCTCTTAGTGTTGACTGGCTTGTAACCTCCAAGTAAGTCGCCGGCCTCAGTTTGTTGCGACACGTTGATCACGGTCAATTTCTTGTGCATCATCTTGGCCACTTCCTGCACGACGGTGGTCTTTCCCGTACCGGTCTCACCGACGAGCAATATGGGCTCGATCATCTCGATGCCCACAGCAATCTGTTCCATCAAGCGTTTGGAGTGCTTAGTACGGGCAAATGTAGTTGTGTTTCCCGCCTTCCGCTTCGTGTGGACTGCCTTGTCTGCCTTCGATTTCACGAGCACGGCACGGCCAATCTCCAACTTTGCGTCGTCTACATAGAACGACGGCACGTGGCTATCGAGGTACAAGTTGATTCTGGAGGCCGGTATCTCCAAGACCTCGCCTATAGCGCTGACCAAGGGCGCCAAGGCACCGTACTCGGTGATAGCGCTACCGAAGCACTCAACGGCCTCGGCAAAGATATTGTCGTAGACCTGAGCCTCCAAAAGCTGGTCCGACGACGTTACGCCTTTGTTCTGTAGCATCACGTGGCAACGAGAGCACACCTTCATCAAGTCGCGCGTGGAGATCACGCGGGGGTGCGAGCCCTTGTTCAACGACACAAACGACGGCATGGCGTATATGTGACACACCTTGTTGTAGACGGAGATGAACTTGGCTATCAAGTTCCGCAAGAGCGGGTAGCGTGTCGCCAAGATGGCGCGGAGCTCGAGGTCGCTGGGAGGCGCTACTGGCACGAGCAGCCACAAGCGGAGGCCGATCATGTCCGGTACGCGGATGCTGGGCGACGTGCGCACTGTGGAGAGGAGTTTGAAGCCGCTGTGCGCCCGAATCACCTCGCCACGCGACGGGATGCTCAACTCGCGCTTTTCAAGCAAGGTCAAGAGGATGGAGAGCACCTCGGTGGGTGCCTTGTCGATGTCCTCCACGAGCACCCACTTACCCTCGCGCACAGCAGTGGTTAAGACGCCGGAACGCCACTCGAACGAGCCTGGCTTCTCGCCCGAGGTGTACGTGCCCAAGAGCAACTTGGCGTCCGTCTGCTCGCCCAAGTGGATCTTGACGATATCGTCTTGCGCACCAAGATAGCGCGCAAGCAGGTTCACCAAGAACGTCTTGCCGGAACCCGCCTGTCCGTGCAATAACACGGGCCGGTTATTCTGCACAGCGCAGGCCAAGGTGCGCAACACCGTCACGGCGTTTTGTGTGGGCACAACCTCTTCGGTGGAGACGGGGCTCTTGCTGGCACCGGGGCAAGCCACGAGCACGCCGCATATGCTTATCACCAGCTGCGAGAGATCGCACGGGCGAATCTCGAGAGGCAGCGCCAGTGTGTTGCAGGGCACGTGCGGCGCCACGCTCGTGTGGTTCAGTAAGCGCTTGGCCTCCACGATGTCAAGGAAGCGGTAGTCGATTTTATAACCACCATCGAGCGGTGCGGTCAAGGAGCCGTCATTCGTGTGGGTGCGGAGCATGTCGCTGCGCGCCACCTCGGACGCGTTCAAGTAGCGGGCCAAGATTAGCACGGCCAAGTACTTGGCCACGGTGTGAGCAGCGTCAAGACTGAGCACGTGATAGAGGGCCTGTGGAAGCACAAAGCCGACAAAGCGTTGTGGCTTGTACGCGTATATTCTGTGGAGCGCCAACAACACGCTCTGCATTTCGTCGGCAGGTATTTCGTGCACAGGCGCCCTCGGCAAGAGCGCCAGCGCAAATTTGCGCTGCGCCATGAAATACTCAATGAGGCCCACGCTCTCGGGAAAGAGCGCCACCACCCGCGACAACGCAAGTAGGATCACGGAGCCGCGGATGGTGGGCTCGGGCGTGCCTTGGGTCTCGGCCAACGCCGCCTCAAAGGCGTCGGACTTCTCGATCCACCGTGCCACAACCTCGAGGAACACCTCGCGGTACGCATGGAGCACTGCCGTGGTTGTTTTGGGGTGCAAGGCGAAGATGGCCAACCGATCCAAGTTGTCCAGGACTGAGGCGCTGGTATCATAGAGGAACGGCAGCGGGAGGTTTTTCTGGGGACAGGCCCGTGCATACGCCGCGTAGCGGGCCGTGGCCTGGGCTAGGTCAAGCAGTATCTCGTGGTTCATGGTGTCACGATGTCTGTCCAGCCTGTGTCGGTGTCCAGAAAGTAGATGGGTTTTTTTTAGGAACTACCTGGAGCAGCTCTGTTTTTTCGGGCGGCTGCGAGATGCGAATGCGATGGGCCCATGCACGGCCGGCATGGGGCACGAGGTCCCGCGACAATCGTGGCCCTGCACTGGCTGATTATTAGAGCGAGCGGGTTCCTCCGGCTTTCGGATGCTCTCTGCTTTTTCCCTGCCTTTCATGATATTTCTCTGATTCTCGAGACATTATGTGGCTGTGTTTGCGTGAGCGTACCGAAGCCGCCAATTTTGTAGAGTTCTTCGATGTGGCTTGTTTTTTTTCGAGGTGTCTGGCTGCTTGTACTGGCTGGCGCTGGAAGCGCTATCAGGTGCGGTGCGCATTAGACTTGCGGGACTGCGATAGGGTGCACCTGTTTTTCATGTGTTCAAGCAAGGAACTTTTAATAAGGAAATGCTTGCCGAAGTGCAAGGCAGCGGGGGAGCTCCTTGAAAAAACAAAACCAAGTGAATGTGCTTGTAGGTGCTTCCTGCGGTGTTCTTTGTCAGCTGATTGCATTAAAGCCAGGCCGCAAATCGTTATCGCATCACCGGGATATTCTGACCAGGACGCCGGCGGCATAGGCTTGTACCATGCGCTTGTATTTGCAGTATGCTGCATATCCTGGTTGGACTTTTCTTTCGAAATTGATTCAGTTTGTGGGTTCTGTCTCCGTTCACTTTGCTCTGGGGCCTCTATTGAAGGACAGCGACATCAGTCAGTTTTTGAAAAAAAACGCCACTTTATTGTCTGTGTCAAAGTTGGGACATCCTAAACACAAATCACACGCTCCATATCCCTCTTCATTCCCTCCAGGGTGTGTGCTAGTTGCCATGAAGAGCAAGCAATCAATATGCCCAACCCAATCCACCCATTATATGATTTAACTGCTTTCATTATCATATTCATTTCTTGTATTCCGTTCAAAGCGTTTCCGCCAACTCTGATTCTGATCCCTACTTGCGGGTCATATTACAGCAGCCTCAGAGCTTCCATTTTGCAATCATGTGTTTTGAATAAACAAAACTTTAGCCTCGCATTGTTTGGAAAGCTTCCGAGAGCTAGTGGATCGCTTGACTGATAGTCAAGAGTCATGTATCCCGCCCCTTACTCATAGGTGAGTTCTATATCGTGGCACCTCAATTGTTCTGCGGCATTTTATGCGCCACTGGACGCTATTTTTATATACAAAAGGCCAAGTTCGCCGGTTTGTTTACCCAAATTACCATTGACTGGTAAACACACGTTGATGTTATTGGCTGTTTTTATGAGCACCTCGCTGCAATGGCAAAAATGTTAGTCATGTCATTCTTGCAACTGCGCAAACGCGGCAGGTGAACTCACGTGAGTTATCAAGTGGGACCAGAGAATGAACTGCCCGTACATTGAAATACACAAAGCAGCACATATGAAAAGATGATGATTCTAGTAGCTAAGACTACTTTTTTAGATTGTTTTTTTCAAACTCACCTGGGGTATATTAGACCGTCATTCGTTTCGTATCCAATTCACATCCAAGGTTTCTAAAAGAGAAAAAAGTTGCGAGGATATCGACACAATGCACAAGACGCTGTTCCAATAATTTTTTAAAAAACATCACCTCAGTGGTAAACATAATTTGTAGTCCTGCTCGACGACTAATACTATGGACACATCAAAGCAAGCCTTTTGATAAACAATGCTTCCGACTATCGTCCAGATCAAAATCTGACCTCTAATTTAATGCTTACAAGAAGACAAAAAATAAACCGTCGGGATAGTATTTCATACCGATATCTGTCTAACGAATCAATCAATTAGGACAAAACCGAAGTTTTGGTGTATGTATTCAGCTAATAAACCTTGCCTTGGTTGAGACAGATGCTGCCCATATTCGTACTTGTGAAATATATGAGTCAATCTATTTGGAATTAATGTCAGCATGAGCATAAAGAAGCAATGGTTTATTTGATCGTAGATGTGAGCAGCACCGTCTAATGTCGAAGATGAACGTGATTAATATTGGATTTACAATGCCATCGCGCTAAGACACAACAGATAAACGAAGCCTTGACAGCATATGAGGAAGCCTGCTCACATTTCAATAAGTCGAAGCTAGAGGTGGTCGATAAACCGTGGTGAAATGAATTTATCTCGTATTTCATATATTTGGTTGAAGCGACAGGAAAACAAATGACCCACAAGAAATGCGTAAATCGTTCTTTTGGCAATATGTTATTTCCAGTTAGACTAATCCAAAGATTGTCTGACTTTTGAGACCGCAGGTGCTAAATCTGGAAATTTGGTGCATATCAGATATTCAAAGCTCGGTGCCCATTTCTGGTTCTCTTTCAAATTCCATTGGTAAGTCGCTTTTGACCTGGAAGACGCTGTGTCTACATTTGCACCACAAGCAGCGAACATACAGTTGGGTGCGAAATACACCCAAACAAACACAACGATTCTGTAAACCAGAAAGAACACAGCTAGAAGCCTGGAAGAAAAAGCAAAGAGGAAGTGATTTTTTGATAAGCTATCATACGTAGCAGAAATTCACAAAGAAAATTGTCGCCATCCGTTGAGCTGAGCTGAAGCAATTATTTGAAGCCAGACGCTCGAAAACAAAACACTTCAAAGACAAGTCCGAAATACAGACTATGTTGTTTAGAGTCGTTTTTTTCTTTTTGCTTTTGTTGGCTGAGGAAGCTATTGCTAAAGACTTGTCCTCTAGCATTTACTCGCGATGTATGTATTAGCTTCAAACCCACAAGGCAGAAGTCAACTTTTTCTAACACATAGACACCAACAATACAGAGGAGCCCCCACGGTCATGCATTTTCGAGAAAGTTACAGTGTCGAACACCCAGGAAGCACAAGCGATCAGCCATTGTGAGATGATCCGAGGCAATATCGAGGTCACGGAGTTTGAAGACTCGATTCTCAGATTGGACCGCATAAGCAAGATTGAGGGTAGCTTGATCATCAGAAATAGCGAGAATTTGATGCGCGTGGATGCTTACTCGCTCCGCGTAATCACCGACACGTTCCACATGGAAAGATTACAGCTGTTGGGGTTAATCGAAATGCCCAACTTGGCCTCGGTGTACAGATTGGAATGGCAGGTATTACCGCTTTTGAGCCAGGCGTCGATTGGCAGCCTCAAAGACGTCAGGAGCGTCACCGTCTCGGACACGTCGTTGGAGATGATTTCCAAGTTCGCAGGGTCCGAGTTGCAGGACTTGAATATCAACAACAATCGGTTCATGGAACTCGTCGATTTTGACGCCGAGACAGTCAGCAATCTCTTGCACATCACAGGGAACGCCCCCAATATGCGTGTGAAGCTTGGCCAGTTGCGGCTGGCTCGCAACATCAGCGTGAGCAATGTTCGCGAGTTGAACATGACACGGTTGCGCAAAGTGGACGGGTCCATGAGCATGGTGGAAAACACGCTCACGGATATCTCGTTCCCATCGCTTTCCGAAATAGGCGGGCTGTTCCGCATGGCCGAAAATCACGAGGCCAACGGAGCCAACTTCGACGCGGTGCTTGACATTGGAGGCGGCGTGCTGATTGCAAACAACAGTGCACTTTCCAAAATCAATTTTCTTCCCAAACTTCAGGCCATTGGAGGTGCTCTTGAGATGATAGGCGATATTGCGGACACCGAGTGGCAGAGCTTGAAAATGGTCAAGGGCAGTATCAGTCTCCGCTCGTCCGACTCGAATTTCGACTGCAACAAGTGGATCTCGGGCCCCATAAAGAACACCTTGCGGGGCGGCGAGATTGCGTGTTTCCTGCAAAGCCCTGACGGGTCCACGACGTCCGCATCGTCCGGCGCCACTGGCGTTGATCAAGTGTCACAGGGCGCCAAGCACTTCAGCAGGTGGATCTTGGCCACGTTTGTTTTCGCCGTCTGCTTGAGCGCCTAGCTACGTGGTATCCTCACTATATAAGTCATTGCTGCGAATATACTCGTCAACTTCCTTGAGCAATGGCGGGCTTTGGGCCACGGCTCCGGTAGCGTAGGCCTGTCTGATAGCTGACGAGCTTATGAATCCAATGGATTCCCGGGCGGTCTGGACAGACGTCAAAATGATGTTGCGGGCCCACAGGCGCGGGATATCCGGGAACTCGCCTCGGGCTATGCGACCTATGTAGTTTTGCTGCTGGTCGAACTCCTCGCCAGTGTCTGCCCGAGTCAAGCAAAAGAGATCTGTGTTGTACATAAAATCATTGAGCGAGTCCACCAAGGATGCCGGCGCGTAGTACTTGGGATCCAAAACACGTATAAGCGTATCGAAGCCAAGCAAAAAAGTCAATCTTGCAGACGCGTAGTTTGCCTGCGGTTCCACAGAGCAGTGGGCCTGGATCGCCGCGGACTTGTCAGCAAACTTAGCGTGTTTAGTAAGTCCGATAGCAACGGGAAGTTCGAGTGATTCTAGAGACGACGCCATCCTGTGCATCATGGCCAATCTGTGGTCAAACAGAGCCGGTTTCGGGACGACTTTGTCGGCATTTTTCACCGAAAGTAGAAGCAAGAGCATCTTGGGCAGCTCGGAGAGTTCCGGGTGTGCTCTTGCATCGCCAAAGTCATGGTCAATGGCCTCTTTGGCAAGGGTGAAATGCGCCATGTGAGGAGGATTGAATGACGAATCTAGAACGAGGATTCTGGATACACTGGCCGCCTGCTTAGCGGATCGATACACTATGGCAAAATCCTTGCCGGATTGGACAAACACATCAAGTGCCGCTTTGTAATTCATTGCACAATCGCAGATCTTGTCTCGAGAAACAGAATGAAGTTGCGGTGAGTAGCGTGCGATTTAGGCAGGCGAGGTGGTGGGTGCGAAAAAGCTCACTATGGCTGTGGTGATGACTGGTCAGTTGAACTGAATGGCCGGCTTCGAAATCAGGGAAAGTTTTTGACAAAGCAAATTTTCCTTCCTAAAAATAAGAGGAAAGACTTGGCTCAGTTCTGAGGAGGAGCTGTATGACCGGCAAGGTACTGAGAGAGGCGTAGGTTGTCAAAAGAGCGATTTCAGTGTGGCTAAAACTTTGAGTTTGTTTGGGTCTCGACTCAGTTTTTTATCCTGAGATCGTGTGGTATGTATCCTTCTCTAAATGGAGCCCGAGTTAAGATAAATCCAATAGTATTAGAGCCTTGTGAAGATAAATTTTGGCTTTAAAGCCTCTGGAGCTCAATAAGCAGTTGCATCTGGACACAATCCAGCTCGTAATCCAGATCTAAATAAGCAACTAGCTCAAAGCGGTACTATAGTTTGATTACTTCGATCGATGGGGACTTCTGTTTGTGCGAGAATATGCGAGAACCCAAAATGAAAGATTGCTCAATGCCATGAGAATGAATACGGGAGTGCAATGCGAGGTAATAGATCAAACCAGAGTGCCCGCGTATGTTCTATAAGATGCAAAGAAACATACGAAAGTCGGGCTGTCGTCTTGGGGACTAGAAAATGAGCTGCCTGGAAGCCTGCTATAGACTGGGTCACTTCGGAATCTGGAAGCCAGCAATGCAACGTGAGGCTTAAACTGTTTCGTACTGTTTCATAGTGGGCATTATGAACTGAAAATGCTTCCAGTATTTTCGCCTAATCGAATTAAATTCCAAGTATACATTTTGAACAATGTGCAATGTTCGGATGCCAAGGATACGAATATTGAAGCTGTGGGCCTCAATTAATAATCAAGAAACAGACAGATTACAGAGGATTTCCACACACATAAATGAAGTCAGAAACTTGAGGCAAATCAAAGAACACCACTAATGCAAATTACTCGAAGCACAGGAAACTTTTCTATTCAAGATATTTTATACAGCCAATAAGCGCCAGATGGTTTTTATGATCGGTTGTGATCTTCTGTTACAAGGCCCTAGAGCTCATCAGTATGTCTGGATTTGCCAGATACATCCACCAACTCCACATCAAAGACTAAACGTTAGTAAATTTCGCTCTTCGAAAAAGATCAAAAAAGCAAGCGGCTCTTTCTCATTTCTTCTCAGAATATAAGGTAGAAAATATTACAGATTACACAAAGCCGACAGCAATGGGAATCGAGAGGTTAGAGTCACCGGGGTTCTCTGTAAAATCAGAGCGTTGAAAGCAACGACAGGCAAAGTAACATACTTAAGTCAGAGTTGGCCGGAATGGGCCCAACGTTTCGCAGGCCGTAGCCTAATTCCGATGGAATGTACAAGGTTCTCTGCTCCCCCACACACATATCAAGAATCCCCTGATCCCAGCCTTTGATCACGCGGCCAGTCCCCAATTTAAACACGATAGGGCGGCCTCTAGAATCAGTGGTGTCAAACACAGTGCCATCAGCGAGTTTTCCCGTGTAAAGCACGGAGACTTCGTCCCCATTTTTGGCACGGTATTCGCATTTCTCGACGGACTTGGTCACGTCTTCATGGTTAGTATATGAGCCACTGGAGCCTTTTTGGAACAGAGCTCTTATTACGAGGGGCAGATGTTTCAATTCACGTACCAATTTGTAACGCGGAAGCTAGCACGGCATTTGCAATTGCAATTGTAGCAATCGCTTTAGAAGTGAATCCGTACAACATGGTTTGATGGGGAGGTATGAGACTGGCTTCAGGTTCGCTTTATCTGAAGTGCGGCTCTGTTTGTCAGTGCGAAAAAAGGGCATTTGCTCTACGTTTCTAAAAGTGTACTTAATCAAACATTAAATATTCTAATATACAAGCTAATATACCCGTTAAACGAGAGCCGGTGCGGCCTCGGTAAAAAATTTATCAGTCACCTCATAATCCCCCATGATGGTGACGTACCCAAACTAATAAAACAAATGTGAAAATATTCTCGTCAATTTCATCTCCGGAATGCGTCTGCAACTTCCGCATTCGTTCATCTTCAACCGATACGCGAACCCTCCCCCTCCCCGGGCTCGTCGATCGATTCGTGCGGAAAATCCCTCATCGATTCTCCACTCAGTTGGCAAAAAGCCTCCCGTTTTCCAATTCTTCAATGGTGTTTTCAACAACATCGTCGTCGTCGTCATCCTCAACCAATTCAATGGTGGCGTACTTGATCATGTCCCATCTTTTCCAGTACGCATAAGCATCGTTGTAATCTTCAGAATCCACCAAGTCTTGCAAAAAATACTTTGCTTTCGTCAAGCGGTCCTTCAAAGCCTGTAAATGACAGGATGAGGGGTCTCTACTGGTCGAAGTCTGCTCGGTTGCATTGATTTGAACAGATGGGCCCATAATGGATGGCTTTCTCAGCATGATTGGCTTGAACACTTGTTTGTGCTCGAAGTCAGTATCATAGTCAGTCAAATCTGTAGTGACGCCACAGTCGTCCTCGTCATCAGTGACCGATGAGCCGGGCGCATTGTATCCATAAGCCTCATTCTCAATGTGAGAAGCGGCATCACAATATCTGGCCCAAGCTTCATCTATAGCACCAACAAGATAATCGAAGCATCTGGCTCTGGCACTTTTATCGGATACCGGCATAGAGTTTTTGGAGCTGTTCACTGAGGAGCAGCTGTCAGAGATATGGAAGAAGTTACCAGAGGAAGAGGTGCGATGCAACATCTGTATGTTCCCATGAAGGTTATTCACATACACGGATGACTTGCAGGGCGAGCTCAGCAACTTGCAGTCCAAGTTGTCGTCATCGCTAGAGCGAGAAGATGTGGGCTTAGAAGGCTCATAGTGACCCTCGTCATCATCACTATATTGCGCAACGGCCTTGGACAACTTATCGTCCAAAGAAAAAGACACTCTGCTAGAGGCTCTTCTCTTTGCTCTTATTTGATCAGCAATGTAGCACGACTGTTGATCTTCAGAATCCGAAAGAGAGTCTGATGATGACGAGTAACAAGTCCCGCCAGCCACTTGCTTAAAACATACTTGAGGCAAGCGCTTGTTTGAGACAGTGTTCATGTTGATTTTAGACAAGCACATTCTCTTCGCTGCAGGACTCTCATGCTGCACCAGCTGGGTATACCCGCAGGTGCGTTTACAAGATGGGAGAAAAGCTTGTGAGCATAAAGCCATGTTGTGGGGAGGGGTATAGGTCACGTGAGGTTCTGGCACAAGAGAGAACAAAAATCCAAACGTTTGGATGTGTTGTGCGAGAAGTGCGAAAATAAGGGTTGGAATCCGAGCCAGCCAATCAAGGGGTCAGAAAACACTTGTACACAGGAAATGAACAAGGGTGGCGCTAGATGAGGGCGGAAAACTTTTACCCAGCAAAAATCCAGAGAGCAGCCGACTGGACGTATCAACCAAGGGTTCAAAAGGCGCTTTTTCGGGAAATTTAAAAGAATCAAGTCTCTGCCTTAATCAAGAGCTTGCAATATCACACGCTTTTGTGTCGACAGAAAGGAGATGTCGAAAGCCGAAGGTGATCAAAAAACGTGAACTTTTGTGCGAGGGCCAAAAGTTTGTGTAGGAAAAAGGCGGAAATAAAAAAAGTGGCACGCCGGAACAAAAAATAAAATATAATGCGCACCGCGACATGGTGAGATGGCACGAGTAATATACTGGAAGGGTCACGGTACCATGGGGCTGAGGTGCAGGCCTAAGGGCATGCAGCGCTCGCGCGCTCATACTGTGATTCGCTGGCGTTGTTTGTTGCTGCCGGGTAACAAGAGGGGGGATGCAGGAGTTGCACTTTATATGCACCAACGGTTCCTAAAAGGTGGACTCGCATTTGGAATGGAACGAGTGATAAGTTAATTCGCGCGACAACAATAGCCCAATGGACAAAAGAATAGGAAACATTCTCCCTCTTGCAGCAAGAGATTGCGACTTTTATCTGAAATGGTTGAGCTGGCATATGCCTTAAATTTTTAATGGCTCATATCCAAGTGAATGGAGAGGCGGAAATGCCACGTGGCCTGATCTTGCATAGAGCTATCTGCAACGGAAGCTTAGAGAAGGCGGCCGCACGATTTTTTTGAGATTTCCAATCGGTTTCCGCCCCCATGCGAAACAGCGACATGGCCCCTATCCTGTCTCGCATGCTAAATATGAACCGCGGTATCGTGCGTCCAAAAATAGCAACGAACCCGAGGACTGTGCAACATGCCAAGAGGGAAAACAACAAAGTCGAAAACAGCAAGGCTGAACCTGAATATGCTAATACTGCCAGGAAGCATCTAGAATACGAACCACACAAGTCGCTAGTTTTGGACAGCTCGAAAGTCTGACACAGGCTTGGTTTCTCTAGACATTGTTCGAGTGTATTGTTGATTGTTCCAAGCTCTTGTTACACAACCTTGTTATTGTCTTGCTCACCGCGCATTTGCAACCGTGACATTTTGCACGCTAGCCCTGAGATCGTTGAAATATTAAATTTGTTGTTCCATCCGTGGTCAGCCACAATTGAAGGACTCAGATTTGCATTTTTTTTTTCGGCAGCTGAGCCCATTTTCATGATTTGCTTCACGCAAGTGGCATTCATCGGCTCTTCCGATCATTGTTGTGTTATACTTTGACGATGAATTACGAGACGTGAGAAATGAAGGTTAATTGTTCGTTCGCATGTTCCCGCTTGTGGCGACACATGACAGATGGTTCTTGACATAATGAGAAAGGCACCTGAGTATCCAGCTCGGTGCACTAGAGAATGGATTCTACCAAAAGGCGCCATGCATGAGTCTATTTCGAATGCCCATTTGACCACGGCTGTGACAAGGATCTACACTATTACAGATTACGCAAAATCTGTCTGCAGCAGTCTAAAAGTCCTTGTCGGATTGTCTATATGACTGGGCACCGGGCCCTGTCTGAGAATGTCAAATATTGTTGTAGCCGCGTCCACACGAAGAAGGCACGCAGAGTCGGTGTGCAAAGCATGCACTCATGACAAGACCGCCATGCTAGTGGACAATCCAAGCCCGAAGCAGCAGTCCAACTCGTCCCTCGGCTGCACAATTGAGAGCAAATCACGAGGCAGATGTCGCCAGTGTTTGCGAGCTAGGCCGACTGGACGCCTGAGAGTTCAGCCTGCTCAGCCCAGTGCTGAAAGTGTTTAGCCGTTCTTCTACAGTCACCATGGCGCGCGCAAGCACCGTGAGAAGCCTGCTGAAATTGCGGTTGTTCACCAAGAGCATGTCGTTCTCCTTGAACCGCGTGTATATGTGTTGCAAGACAGGCACTAGGCACCGGAGCCCGATGAACCAGAGCCGCACCAGGAGAAGCACCAAGAGTTCGAGCTTATCGGCAATGGACGTGTCGTCGTCAAGCAGGGACCCCCGCGTGAACTCGGCAATGTCGTCGGCATCCGCCCGCATGCCCAAGTCCACCATCAAGTGACGCAACAACGCGACTTTCTGCGCGTAGTCGAGCTGGTCGAGCAACTCGGCGCTGTCCACTTTCAGAGCCGAGCTCCCATACTCGCCTGCGCTCGTTTGCAGCCGACGCTCGCTGTGAATGAAGGGCACGGACGCATATATGCTATCTTGAGCGCGGGCCACCAACAGTACCAATTTCTGAGTCGCGTCGTCGCCGGCGCGGGCCATCATAATCTCAAGCACGAGCCGGCGCCACCCGGCCTCCTCGGCCTGCCTTTGCTGCTGCTGCCGCACGACCTCCTTGAGATTCCTGTTGATAAGCGACGTGAACTCGTCGTGCTGCTCACACAAATACAGCTCCACGCGCTCGGTGCGGAGGCTCTGCGTGTCCGTGTCTCTGGCTGTGTCGTTGCCGTCATCCTCGGCGTCTAATGAGGAGTTGCGGCCCAGCGCAAGCGAACTTCTCTCTGTTGCGGGCCGTTTCTCTCGCATTTTCTTGCGGATTTTCTGCGACGGCGTCGCAAGCGGCCGCACCTCGTCCGGCGAGAGCTCGAGGTCCGCCAATCTGGAAGCCCCGGAGCCCATAAGATTGTGCACACGCTGCGGAAGCCGATCGGAAAACGGGACCAAGTTTACGGCTGTACTGATGGCGGCACGCACGACCATGTTCCAGGGCTGGGCGTGGTGCGAGGCGAACTTTGGAAATGCTGCTTATGTGTCTGAGCGACCCGCCTGTTTAAAGAGACCGGGTGTTCAGGTGTTAAGTTTGATCTGTGGCCTGTTGTTGGTGCTTATCAAAGAAAAGCGGAGGGTGGAATCGGACGACCGTGTGCAGGCCGGTGGGCTGGGCGATTTGGGCCAGGGCAGTTATCGCAGGCGTGGTGGGGTGCAAGGACGATCCATGGATGTGGGCTATCAGACATCACGTGGGCCGAGAGAGCCCGTTCTCTTGCGCACGTAGATGGGCATTTCCTGCTTGGGCGTCTTGGGCTCAACAAGCACGCTCCCGAATGTCGGCGCCCGTGGTGTTGGGACGGCTTTTAGTGAAAGTCTAATATTGACTGGTGCCAGACCAGCGCGCGCTGGGGCCAACGGGAAGACCCAACAATAGACTGGGGGCCGCCGACTCACACCGGTTCTTGGGCTTTCGTTCATTATGCTTGCCCGCTTTTTTTTTCTTCTCTGCAAAAACGCCTGTCTTGAAATTCAACGGTACGTCTGGCCCCAGTGCTCGGGCGCCTTTAATAAGTACCGCATCATCAAGCTTCTAGCTGGTGAGAACTATCGACTTCGCCCTGGGAGACCGTCGCGCACGTGACCTGCCTGGGCACCTTTCGCAGCAATTCGCCAGAGGTTATGCAGCTCTGGCCCCACGGCTGATCACTTGTTAAATGTTGCTGCCTTGCGGATCGGACAGCCACAACTATTCTTCCCAATCTACTCGTGAATAAACGAGTAAAACGACGCTTTGGAACCATCATAAACTTCGGAATCTGTCATGTCGTCTCTTGCCATCAAATGGCTCACCAACCGGTTTCTTAAGGACAATCAATTCACCAAGTTCGGTGTCGAGGATCCCTACTACGAGCACATAATCGTGGGCCATGATCGCCGGGGCAAACCCAAGCACAAAAAAATTAAAAGAGCCATTCCGGATGGAATTAGTGAAAACGACGCCAAGGTGCTTCTGTCCGTGAAGAAACAGGCTTTCCGCTACGACATGTGGTTCACCTTCTTTGGGTTGCGGTTTGGCATCTCCAACGTCGTAGGCCTCATTCCTATAGTGGGCGCGGTGGTGACCAATTTCTGGTCTCTTTCACTATTCTGGAAAGCGAGGGCCTTGGAGGACGGGCTTCCTTTGGACATTCAGCTCATTTTTCTCTTCAACATCTTGGTGGACTTTCTTCTCTCGCTCATCCCTATAGTTGGAGATATCATCGAGGTTGGATATAAGGCCAACCTGAGAAATTTTCTCGTACTTGAAAAGCACCTTATTCGTGTTGGCCAGAAAAATATGGGGCTTATCAGTGAGGATGACGTCCGGCCCGGATTCTTGAATGATAAGGTCCAGCCCTATGTCGAGGAAAGCATTGTGCCAGGGGCCGCCAGGGCAGGAGAACACATCAAGAAGTTTGTGCAGAACAACTTCAAGAACTCCGCGTCTTCTGAGTCTTCGGTCACATCCGCAGCCACCACCCAGTCTTCGGACGCCACTGCGATTGGCACGCTAGAAACGAACATTGACGACGACACCAAAAGCATCCGCAGCTTTGCCGACGTCATGTAAATGAGCGGGGCGGTTATCCCCTATATATTGGACAAGAATGGTGATGAGAAAAGGTGCTGGATTACGCAACAGTACGGTTCATCAATCGATGAAACATTTGATCTTTCGAGCGAGCCTTTGGAACAGACACTTTACTCGAGACTACCTTATTGGGGGGCAACGCCTCGATGCTTCTAGCTGGGTGCTACGTTTGTCGTGATGGAACCTGTTTTGAGTCTTTCCAGAATGTGCGATGAAATCTTTACGTAATTTGAATTGTGGCAGACTCCAGAAAGACCGTTCCTGTCTATATTTCAGCGAAATTGGCTTATTCATGTGAGCCACAAAAGAGCCTGATGGCACTTTGGAGACATTACACTGAAGGCACAATTGGTGTGTGAGCGGGCTAGACCTTGGCTCCCGTCGTAACCTAGTTTTTGGATCCCAGACTGGCATTTCAGAGATAATGCTATCTTGCACAGTTGAGCACTAGGTGAAATGAAACAAGGAGGGCTTCGATCATATATGGAAGTGCACGGAGAGTATTGAAACGTTTCTGTTTTTTCTAATACTATTTGGGTACACTCAATTTGTCGTGGAGGGAAGCGTTGTTAATGCTCCGAAGTTCAGAGCGACCGTTTTATAAAAAAACAATTTCGATGAATGCATTGCGCCTGAACTGTCTTACGCGGTCTGGTATTGCTCTCTGCTGGAATAATCTTAGTAGATGTAAGAACTACGTGGCTGTCTCATTTCTCAATGAAGATTTTGTAGGCTCATCGTTGAGGATACAAAATATCATTATTACATTCTGTTAACGTATGTCTTGAAAGTTCATACGTGTGGAATTCTTCAACGCCCCGTTGATGCAATCTCCGTTTTCGCGAGCACTGGTAATAATTCTCTGGGTTCTATCCATAGAGCCTTCTGAATCTCTTATATAGTATCCAAGTACGTATCATGTGTTCTTTTTCTCGCCATTCATTGCTCAACAAGTGTTGCATAGTCCTGGTCCAGGAATGAGCTGGAATCGTGAGATACTTGCTGTTAAATTATAATTTTCAAAAAGAAATGTCGCAACTGCATACTTGAAATGAACAATACAAATGCGTCAGATATATAATCGAATTTTAAAGTCCCTGGTATCAACTCAACAATGAAGGTCTCCGCAAGTGCACACAGCCATACATGCTCTTCCTTTATTCTGTGACTCGTCAGATACCATTGTGAACCCTTATTGTGAGTGCCGTGAGATTACATAGTGAACGACTGTTGGAATATTCCTTTGTGTTGTAGAGGCTTCCTTCACGTGACCTCCAGATCAGATATATAAGACAGATTCCCCTTGTTAAGAATGCTAATTTATTATGTGGTGCCCACTATGCCCGGGATAGCCCATAGGTTCCCGCTATTGGAGCCCCCTGTTTATTCCCCACTCCATAGTGACACTGATTCTCCCCCAAAATTCTGGATTTCCTATGATCTCAAGGGGATCAAAAGAAAAAAATATTTTTACAGACCCCTTATGTCTGTGAGGTATGGGAACTCCTACTTGACTTCCGAACCTGGAGTTATAAAAGATGATATCTGGGGATGGTGGGATTGTGCCATGGCCCTCGTAACTATTAACTCGAGTCAAACCACACCACGAGGATACACGACAAAGACAAATTCAGAAACAGAAATTCAAAGTATTCTCCTTTACTGAAGTAGGACTTCTCGTGTCGACAGCGGTCAGGTGAGATAAAAGAATTCATCTTGAAGTGCGAAACACAGAAAATGCTCTTCCCACTAGGACAGGAATACCTCCAATATAAGACACCGATTTCCGAACTGGCCTTTTTAAACCGTCTTGCAGGTGCACCTCGATTCGTTTTCTGGAGTAGTGTCTTTGAGATTTTGCCACCTTTAAAATCAGCCCCAGGTTTCTGGCCTGCCAGCCATTTGGCGCGCATGATGACGCGACCGCAGCCGCGCCTCGCAAACCAGAAATGTGTGAGAACTAGACGCTTAGCCCTAATTAATCATGTGACAAATGAGACATTAAAGTTCGCACCACTTACCCGGAACCAAATAGCACGACGAGTATATGAAGGGAAGAGAATTCCCTCTAGAGATCTTTTTAGAAGGTCAGTTGACACAAAAGTGGTTTTAGTTTTTCCTAAATAAAGGTTTATTTCCACACGCTAGTACATCATGTCGAATCCGATATCTCAACTGTACCAGTTGGGAACCACTTGTGGACAGGACATTGAGTTGGAATATCCTGTACTCAAGCAGAAATACAAACAGGTTATGGGTCCTGAGCCGACCGCTGAGCACAAACGGATGCTTACATCGACTTTCGGAAAACTTCAAGATGAGAGTCTTACTAGTGTGTGGAAAATATTCTTTGAAAGAAGGATATTTGATTTTGACCAAAATGTTTTTATTTTCTACAAAGTAAGGACCG